GTATTGCAACCATTCCCAGTTCAACTTCCCCTTTTCTCCACTCACCTGCCATTAGTGAGAAGTTACAGAATAAAGAAAATAATAAAATAAATGGCCCAGCGTATTTTTTCCAGTACTCCTAATTCCCAGGAATCCAGTGAGTGAAAGTCGCTCAGTCCTGTCTGGCCAGGTGTACATCTACAACTGCAAGTACAGGTAAGTGTCCTACCCCGGGGGAGTCCGCTGTAACTGAACAGGCAGGAGGTCAGCCGTGGGAACTTTGGTTTTTATCCAACATAGGAAATTCTTTCCTTTTTCAGGTTGAGTTTGAGAACCAGCAGGGGATGAGTTATGTGATCCAGCATCACCCCTGGTGTGTTATTGGAAGGCTTCTCCGTAGGCAGAGCCTTAAAAATATTGCATTTTCTGGAAAAGCTGCATGTTCTACTTAGCATTTTGGCTCAGAATCATAAGAAGCAGGGGCTTTCCTGGTGGCTCAGACAGTAAAGAATCCGCCTGCAATGCAGGAGACCCAGGTTTGATCCCTGAGTCAGGAAGATCCCTGGAGAAGGGATAGGTTACCCACCCCCAGTATTCTGCCTGGAGAACCCTATGGACAGAGGAGCCTGGCGGGCTACAATCCATGGAGTCACAAAGAGTCAAACACGACTAACACACACACACACACACAGTCCATGGAATTCTCCAGGCCGGAATCCTGGAGTGGGTAGCCGTGCCCTTCTCCAGCAGATCTTCCCAACTCAGGGATTGAACCCATGTCTCCTCACTGTAGGTGGATTCTTTACCCACTGTGCTGCCAGGGAAGCCCAAGAATACTGGAGTGGGTAACCTATCCCTTCTCCAGGGGTCTTCCCGATCCAGGGATCGAACCCAGGTCTCCCACATTGCAGGCGGATTCTTTACCAGCTGAGCCACAAGGGAAGCCTAAGAATGCTGGAGTGGGTAGCCTACCCCTTCTCCAGGGTGTCTTCCCAACCCAGGAATCGAACCAGGGTCTCCTGCATTGCAGGCAGATTCTTTACCAGCTGAGCCACCAGGGAAGCCTGAGTCTCCAGAATATCAGCCAGTGAGTTTATATTTTGCACAAAGTAAAACCGTTTATGAGGGTTGCTTTTTCTCTGCAAATAACAATTTAAGAAGAGACCATGGCAGTCAGGAGAGGCTGCGCTCCTGACACTGCATTTCCTGCCCATGGGAGCGGTGAGGGTGAGCGGTGAGGGCAGTCACTCTCCTGAGCCCCCAGGCTCTGCACTCAAATCCAGAAATGTCCAGCCCCCTCTCACGAGGCCGTCATGATGCTTCAGGCAGAAATGCAGGTGAGCTCACTCTCAATCCTAAAGTGCTATACAAATGCAATTTTTAATGTAATTATCAGGGAATATTTAAATAATCTCTCAGAGCCGAGATTGGTGTTGAAAATGTAGTGTACCTAATTCCTGGAAATTATCAAGACCTCTGGGCTTCCACAGCAGCTCAGCTGATAAAGAACCTGCCTGCCAATGCAGGAGATGCAAGAGACGCATGTTCGAAACCTGGGTCGGGAAGATCCCCTGGAGGAGGAAATGGCAACCCACCCTAGTATTCTTGCCTGGAGAATCCAGGCAAGAATAGACAGAGGAGCCTGGCAGGCTACAGTCCATGGGGTCTCAAAGAGCTGGACACAACTGAGTGTGTGCACACACTCACACACACGCACACGCATTGCACATCAAGGATGCTCCTGGGGAAAGCAGGATAGTCAGCTGTTAGTCAGCCACGTGGCACAAGCACAGAAGAGTTAACACAACAGCCCTGAGACCACTGTCCTCAAAAGGCCTGTTCATAAGGCTGGCCTTTTGCTGGTGTCTGGGACTCTGGATTTCAGGAAGAGAAACACAACTCCAGCAACCTCCCAAATCCACGGATTTTTCCCCTTTCTTAGAAAGTTGTACAGAAAGTTATATTACAGGATGTGAGGTGTGCAAGGGGCAACCCCCTGATTCTCTGGGGTTGGAGGGATGGGGGTGGGTTTAGTGAGACCTACCCAGAGAGAATCTGGACACTTTTTTCAGATCAGTGATTGCGAAAAGAAATGTGTTCAAGCTAGACTGGCAGGTGCAGTCTTCTATTCCCACCAGTATTTTATATTGGAAATGTCCAAATACATAGAAAAGTCAAAAGAATGGTACAGTGAATACCCATTTAACCATCCCCTAGATTTTATAAGCAACATCCTATTGTGTATGCTTGTCACATATATACTCATCTCTCTACCATCTATCAGTCTGAAATAGTTTCTCTGTCAGTCAGTTAGTTCAATCACTCAGTCGTGTCTGACTCTTTGCGACCCCATGGACTGCAACACGCCAGGCTTCCCTGTCCATCACCAACTCCCGGAGTTTACTCAAACTCATGTCCATTGAGTCGGTGATGCCATCCAACCAGCTCATCCTCTGTCGTCCCCTTCTCCCACCTTCAATCTTTCCCAGCATCAGGGTCTTTTAAAATGAGTCAGCTGTTCGTATCAGGTGGCCAAAGTATTGGAGTTTCAGTTTCAGCATCAGTCCTTCCAATGAATATTCAGGATTGATTTCCTTTAGGACTGATTTATAAAATAGTTTCTAAATACATTTTAATTTTTAAAAACCAGTCCCCATGGAAACATTCAGCCTCTACATACACCAGATGCTCGGCCATCCAGTATGGCCCTGGCTGCCCTTTTTGGTCCTGTCCCTCATGTCTGGAGTAAGTGACTGGGAAACCTGGGCCAGGGTGTCTGAGCAGACTGTGTGGCTGTTCCAGGCTGTTCCCACTACTCTGTGCTGTCTGCAGTTGGCCTCATGAGTGGTGTCGCAGCAGCAGGCACTGGGCTCTGTGAACACACAGATGAGACCCCTTCCAGAGGCTGAAGGAGGTCAGAGCCACCACTTCTGGGGCACTGCAGGTACCTGTCCTGGCTCTGTTTGTGGCCACAAACACCTAAGAGAGAGTGACAACCAGGGAAGCCTGCTTCTGAGCCCTGAGGCTTCCCAGTTACTAACGGCCAGCCGTTCTCATCCTGGCTCTGGAGGAAGAACAGAGAGAAGAGGAGAGACAGAGGCCCAACCCCGCAGCCCCTGCTTTTAGACAGACGTCCCAGCAGGTCACACTCACTCAGCCCCTTCCTCAGACAAGTGCCGGCAGCTCTCGGCGGTCTGGCGGCTCTCACCCCATTTCCTCCTTCCAGCCCTCGGCCAAGGCCAGTGGGGGCTTCACCACCTCCTCTCACCTGGACCACGGCCACATCCCCTCACCCGCGTGTCCTTCCCTGGTCTTCTCTGCCCTATAGCTCAAGGGCAGGAATGCTCCATTGTGTACAAGCTCCCCACACAGCTCCAAACAGCCCGTGGCTTGGACCCCTTCCTGCAAACCCAATGACTGAGCTCAAATACCGCTGTTCTCTCCTGCATCCAAGCTTTTGCACTTAGTCAGTCAGTAGCTCAGTCATGTCCGACTCTTTGCAACCCCAGGGACCGTAGCCCACCGGGCTCCTCCATTCATGGGATTCTCCAGGCAAGAATACTGGTTGCCATTTCCTCCTCCAGGGGTCTTCCCCAAGCAAGGATAGAACCCAAGTCTCTTGCATCTCCTGCATTGGCAGGCAGCTTCTTTACCCACTGAGCCACCTGGCAAGCTTTTGCATTTGCCCCAATTTTTCCACCTGGAAATGCTTTGCACCCATAAGACCCAAGTCCTTGGGGCTCCCTTCATGAAAATAGAATCCAAAAGACGCACCCAGGGTGGGCAAATAGCTGGTGTGTTGGCTGCACCTGTGCCAACACCCTGGGGTGCCTTTTGCACCCTCCACACAGCAGGACTTTGCATGTGTGCACGTGTGTGTTCGTGTGTGTATGTGTGCAGACATCCGCCCATGTGTCTGCTTCCCAGCCTTGCAGAGGCAGGAGCACCATGCCCAGCAGGTCATCCCACAGAACCACAACTTTGCCAACACACACGGGGGGTAAGAAAGAGTCAAGAGCCCGGGAAGTGCAAAGGGCTGGGGGCACAAACCAAGGGGAAGGTGTCTGAGGACGTCAGCGGAGCAGAGCAGGAGGGGCCTGGGGCCACAGGGGAACCAGACTGCGTGGGTCAGAGCAGAAAGAGGACCAAAGGTTCAGAACAGGAATCCCCACCCCGGTGGCTCTCACTGTTTCCTTCTGAGGATCTGAACTCAAGGCCCGGCTACAACCGGCACCTGAGTGGCCCTGGGCAGCCACTTATCATGCTGGGAGGGCCTCCATTTCCTCACCTGTAGAGTGGGCTTGGAGATGCCTGCCTTGCATGACTGGGGGAGTCAAGCAAGATCGAGGGACTTTGCAAATCCTCCAGGTCTCTGCAGAAGAGCAGGTGTTAACTGCAGCATCACTGATGGTCCGTCGCCTGGCATGTACTCGTAAGCTCTTCCATGATCTGAGAGAGAAGCAAAGCGCCACACTCCTGTTCACAAAGCACCGCCTGTCCATCTTCTCCTGGGAGCTTCACGGCACCCACCTGGGGCGGATCCCACCCACGTCTCTTCTTACTGCCCCTCTCCCCCAGGCTCTACTGAGGTCTCCAGCCAGGGGGGCAGGGGGGCAGGAGGGCAGGGCTGAGGGCAGCTGAGCGGGCTTGGCACAGACCCGGAACTCTCTCCACCCAAGCCTGGGGCTCAGATGTCTCTTACACACAACACACACACACACAGACACACAGGGCCCTCCCCCTCCTTAGCACACTAGGGAGCTGCCCGTCCCCAGGGCAACAGTCAACACAGACAGAAGCTCAGACACGACTGGGCTCCAGTGCTCTCTGCAGCTTGGAGGGCCTGCTCCCCATCAGCCCCTCTGAGCTCAGGATCCAGGGGGCCATTGAGGAGAACCCCTGCACAGCTCTCCTGGTATAAATGCGGGAAAGCTCTCTGAGCTCAGGCAGGAGTCTCTCTCTCTCTCTCTTAAACACACACACACACACACACACACACGCATTCTTACACACTTCCACCCATGGGAAGCCGCCCCACCCCTGGACTCCAGAGAACTACATCAGCTGGGTACCCACTGCCTTCAACCAGGCCTCCAGCCTCAGTCCCGTCCACTGCCCCAGGAGGCCCTGTGGTGGGCAGGGGTCCCGCAGATGGCCCCCAGGCCCCGAAGGCCAAGCGGTCAACCCTGGGGGCTGATGGTGTGCAGCGGGACCAGCTGTGGAGGGAGCTGCTGGAGGCCGAGAGGAGGAGCCAGCAGCGCTGGTGAGTGTCCTGCCCTGTCCCCTCCACAGGGCCTCCCAGCCTAGCTCAGGGTCTAGGAAGCTTCTGGAGAAAGGGAGACCTGGGGTGAGAGGGAGTAAGCCAGGCGAAGGGTATTGATAGAAAAGCACTTGAGCCAAGGAGCGAGAGCCTGGACCAGGGGAGGTGAGGGAGCTTAGCATGGGCCCCCAGAGTAGGGCCAGGTAGGTGGGATGTGCATCCTCACCACGTGCATCCTGGAAGCCGGCTTCCCTTTGCAATAATCCTTCCAGCTGGAGCTCAAAATGATGAACTGCGAGGGTGGGAGCGGGGGGAGGTCAGGAATCGATAGCAGCAGCCTCAGAAGAGGCACCAGCCCTCTGACCCAGCAAAGGGCATCCCTTCAGGCATCATTCAGTCAAGTCCCTAGAAGAGCCACCGCCATGCCAGGCCACCAATGGGGACAAGACAGTCCCAGGCCCATCTCCATGGAGTCCTCACTCTCAGGACAAGGCAGCCAAAAAGCAACAGAGTCACAGGCAAGAGCAACGTGCAGCTGGTGTCAGGAGGTGACCGATGGAGCAGAGTGGTGTTTTGCTTTTCTAGGGGCTCAAGGAGGGGGAAGTGGATTTCCGGCTAAGACCCCAGTATGAGAAGGGCCGTGGAAGAGTTTGGTGTATTTAAAAAAGCAACAACATAAAGACCATGCGTGTGGCTGGGGTGGTCAGGAAGGGGACAAGAGCCTCAGGGTGGGGAGTAGGAAGAGGCAGCCGGGCAGTTACCCAAGTCCCAATAACTTTTTTTCGCATGTCATGGGACACCCTGGAGGGTCTTAAGCAAGAGGCTGACTGGACCGAGTTTACAGTTTAAATGACCAGTCTGCCTGCTGTGCCTGGAACACCTCGAAATGGGGGGGGGGGGGCGGGGGACAGGGCAAAGTGACATTTAAGAAACTGGTAACAGCAGGGTGTCTGAGCTGGGGACCGGTGGAAGAATTCAAGGGAGGTTTTGGTGGTAGAATTAGAATTGCTGACGGATGGATTAGAGTCAGAGAGATGGAGTGTGCGTGTGTGTGTGTGTGTGTGTGTGTGTGTGTGTGTGTGTGTGTGTGTTGGGGTACAGGGGACATTTACAAAGACAGGGTTCCCCTGGTGCCGCGACTGTAGGTCATGTGTTTGTGGTCTGTGTGGATTGGGGCAGAGAAACCTCTTTTTTTCTTCTAAGTCTTGGAGAATTATTTGACTTTTTAAAAACAGAATGAAAATGAAACTGCCAGCACAGATAACGCAATTTTTCTCAGTATCACTTCCCCACCACCACCCACCTTCCTCTGACACATGCCCTGGAAGGTTACCAAGCTTTGCGGAAATGAAAGCTGGCTTTTCTTCACAAAAGACTGGCAGACCGACCCCCTCCACACTCGACCCTGCCCAGCCAGAGGCACGGGGTGAGATGGCTTCCGGTTTCCTGATCTACCTCTGCACACACCCTTGGCAATCAGACTTTCCTCTCTATTGAAATGTTGATCCTTGGAGTTTGTTTCACTTAATGATTGTAGTTCCTCCATGATGTAATACATGCATTTGTGGCAGCAACTTATTCCCTTGAAATGGAGTGAAAGTGTTAGTCATGTTGTCGAGTCCGACTCTGCAACCCCATGGACTGTAGCCCATCAGGCTCCTCTGTCCTTGGGATTCTCCAGGCAAGAATACTGGAGTGGGTTGCCATTTCCTCCTCCAGGGGATCTTCCTGACCCAGGGATCAAACCCAGGCCTCCTGCGTTGCAGGCAGATTCTTTACCATCTGAGTGACCCTGTTAAAATGATGGTAAAAACGCCACAGGTAGGATCACGCTGTCATCATGTTTTCCTTTCCAGGGCTCAGAACTGGAGTTTCCTGAAAGACTATGACCCCATGGTAAGACAAACCATGTTCCCGTCTGACACGCTTGCACTTGGAGTGTTTATTCATCCATCTCATGTTTATTGAGGACCTGCTGGGTGCTAGATGTTGGAATGTACAGAGATGAATAAAATGCAACCGTGTTTCCAGAAACTCTGGATTTGATGGGAAAGAAAATACTTCTGTAGAGCATTTAGAAATGAATTTTCCCCAGTGTTCCTTGACTGCAGTGAGATGAACTCACTGGAATTGGTAGCTGCCAGCTGCTGACATGTTTTTCCCGGTCCGATGGTGTCAGCAAGATAGAGTGAGGTGAGGCTGGCCCCACATAGAGGATGAGTCTGAGTGAACACACTTGTAAACAAATTCCCTGCATCTAATATCACCAGCTCCAATCCATCCTTCATGTGGCTACCAGAGTGACTTTTCTAAACTGCAAAACTCTCTCTCTCTCTCTCCCTGGTTTAATATCCATAAATCTGCATTTTCCAGGACGGTTTGCAACACTTCCCATGGCCCAGCCCTGCCTCCTCCCCATCCTTGCTCACTCCACACAGACAGGACCGACACACTCTCTTTTATGCCCTTCCCACTTCATTAGCCTAATGGCCTCCTATTCATCCTTCAAGGCCCCATAAGAGGCCCCTTCGTGGCAAGCATGGCCAGATCACCATATTCTTCACTCCCCAGCACATCTCACCCATTACTTGGGTCCATCATGCAATGAGCAAGCTTGCCTGGACATGGGCTCCCTCAGAGAAAGGCAAAGATGGCTTCATTGCTGAACACACACCACCAGCTATTCTTTGCCCACCAGCAGCCAATAACTATTTCGCGCTCAGTTCATGTTAGAGCAATGAGCAAATGAAGAATGATCTGGCTGTTAAAAGCATGGTCAGAGAACCAAACTGGAAACTGACCAGTGTAACCAGCCAACCAAGGCGGTAGCCACACTGGCACGGCCCCTGTGGGTTTTAAAAATGGTTTGACATCTGTAAGACTAGTCTTGTGGGACTGCTATCTGTCCTGAGATAGAAGATTCAGCTCACAGGCTCTGAATTCCCACCCTGAGCCCCTGATCTGGGCTCCCAGGCTGCAGAGTCTCTCCCTGACCAGGGCTGTGTATCAGCAACCTGACCCCTAGGACCAGTGCCCCGCCCAGAAAGCCCACACCGTGGGGCCACCTCCACACAGACTTTCCCAGGTGAGAGCCGGGATCCTGTTTCTTAAAAACTGGTCCTGTCACTTCGATTTGACACAGAGCAACACAAAGTTAACCTTAAACAAGGACAGGGAAGGCTTATCAGATTAGTCATAATCCAGACATTTACTCAACGCATCCATCAGTTTACGGATGGCACCAGGCAGTGTGTTCAAGCAGCACCCCTCCTAAGGACCCCCAAACTGGAAACGAGCCCAAATGCCCAAATGTGGCAGAATAGATAAGTGACCCGTGGAGTAGTCACACAACCACACCACGGAAGACCGTATAACATGGAGAACGAAGCAGCCGCAGCCACACACGGGAACACGGGGGAATCTCACATCACGTAGTGAGAGAGAGGGGCCAGAGGGTAGAGACAGGATCCCTTTACGGTAAAGTTCAGAACCAGGCAAGCCAGCTGCTGGTGTAAAGAGGTCAAGACCAGGTCCCCTTGGAGGTGGAGACAGTGACTGAGGGGTTAAACGTGGGCGTCTGAGGCGGATGGGGTTCTGTTTCCTGGTCAAGGGGCGGGTGGGGCGGGGGGAGTTGGGGGGCTGGGTTGAGCTGGGATTTGGGGACTTGTGTGTGTATGTTGCCCAGGGAAAGGGGCGTCGTTTTCACTCCGTAACTCTTCCAAGCTGATAAGGGGCGTCATCCCTAAATTGATGAGACAACATAATTCTCCTAAAAGAAAAGGCAGGGATGAGAAGATAACAGGTAGGAGGGCTAGGGGTCTCCAAATGGAGGAGACAGGCTGCAAGCATCAGACATTTTTTACCTCTCTCTTAAGCGGCAGGAGGAAACAGACTACAAGTGTCAGATTTTTGGCTTCCCTGATAGCTCAGTTGGTAAAGAATCCACTGGCAATGCAGGAGACCCTGGTTCGATTCCTTGGTCAGGAAGATCTGCTAGAGAAGCGATAGGCTACCCACTCAGGTATTCTTGGGCTTCCCTTGTGGCTCAGAAGGTAAAGAATCCACCTGCAATGCAGGAGACCTGGGTTCGATCCCTGGGTTGGGAAGATCCCTTGGAGAAGGGAAAGGCTTACCCACTCCAGTATTCTGGCCTGGAGAAGTCCATGGACTATATAGTCCATGGGGTTGCAAAGAGTCGGACACGACTGAGTGACTTCAAATGTAAATGTAATGTGCGTGTTAGACTTAAAGTAAAAATTGACCAAACAAATAAAACCAACCCCATGGTGCTCCCACCATGAATGGGGCAGTGTCTTCAGCCAGGATGATGGAGAAAGAGTTAAATGTGGTCCCTCCCTCGGCCATTGCCGGTCAAGCAACCCAGTGAAGGGGTCTGGGAAGGGAAGCCGCTGGGTAGGCAGCCCGGGGGTGAGAAGGATGAAGAGGGTGTCTGTTTGGGCTGGAGAGTTGAGTTTGGACCCAGAACGGAGCCTGAGGTCAGGCCCCCAGAGGATGCTTCCTGCAGAGCCCACCTGCCCCTGCCCCTTTCTCCCCGCTCAGGCCTCTCCAGTTGTCTTTCCCCCAGCAGATGACCCTCACTGTCCCCCTGTCCTCAGGGTAACAAGAAGGAGCCGGTGAAGCTGCCGGACTATGTGCCTCGCTTCTCTGACACGGTCCCCAATTCAACGAACCGGGCCGTGGGCAGCCGGGTGGACACGCCTCTGGGGAAAACCCTCATCGGCCTTGACTTCTTCTTCGTGGAAGGAGCCCGGAAGAAGAAGCTGGAAGAGGAGCTGCAGCCCATCTAGGAGGAGGGCCGGGCGGACGCTGCTGGGGAGCCATCACCAGAGCCTCAGACAGCATCCCACACAAGCCGGGGGTCAGGAGCGCTGACCATTGAGTCCGGATCCTGCTCCTGGCTCTAGGCATCTGCAGTCTTGGGCAGGTCACTGGAGCCTCCGGGCCATTTCCCCATCTGTGATGTGGTGTTTCCATCGCTGCTGTAACAGGTGACCACAAACTGAGGGTCTCCAAACCACACATGCATGTTATCTTGCAATCCCGAAGATAGAAATCCAAAGCAGCTCTCGCTGGACTAACTAAACTGAAGGCATTGGTAGGGCCGCATTCCTTTCTGGAGGCTGGAGGAATCTGATGCCTCACCTCTTCCAGCTTCCAGAAGCTGTTCAAACTCCTTGGCCCTTGGCTCCTTCACCTTCAAGGGCAGCAATGTTGTTGTTTTTCAGTTGCTCATCATGTCCAACTGTTTGTGACCCCACGGATTGCGGCACACCAGGCTTCCCTGTCCTTCACCACCTCCCGGAGTTTGCTCAAAGTCATGTCCTTTGAATCAGTGATGCCATCCAACCATCTCATTCATCCTCTGTTACCCCCTTCTCTTCCTGCCCTCAATCTTTCCCAGCATCAGGGTCTTTTCCAATGAGTTGGTTCTTCGCACCAACGTGGCCAAAGTTTTGGAGCTTCAGCTTCAGAAGTGAATATCCAGGGTTGATTTCTTTTAGGATTGACTGGTTTTATCTCCTTGCAGTCCAAGGGACTCTCAAGAGTCTTCTTCTGGAAAAGGGCAGCAATGGTATCTTCAAATGTCTCTCTCTCTCTCTACCTCCCTCCCCTATCTTTTAAGGACCCTGTGACTACACTGACCCACCCTGAACATCTGGGATAATCTCTCCAGCTCACAGTCCTTAATTTAATCACATCTGCAAAATCCCTTTTGCATGCAGGGTCCCAGGGTGTAGGACATGGGCGTCTTTGGGGACCCAGTTTTCTGCTACCACATATAGGGATAAAATGGTCAATTTAGTCAGGTTGTTAGGAGGATTAAATGAGCTACCCTGTGTGGTTGTTTATAGCAGTGCCTGCAGCACAGCGGGAGGGTGCATTTGCCGCGGATGCCCCTCTCTAGGGAGGCAAGCCCTGTCCTAGTACCGTCACCCGGGGAAGATGTGCGTCCTCAGACAGAAGCTGCAGAGACAGTCGGCTCTCCAGTCAGTGTCTCCATCTCTTTCGTTACCCGTGTCACGGGCAGGGCGGTCAGGGTGAAGCTGGAGTGAGGGGAGCCTGCCTACAGCAGATGCCAGTTGAAACAGTGCCGGCCACCCCAGGGAGCCCGTGACCAGGATCCATCCTCTGTGCCGCAGGGCAGACAGGGAGGCACCTGGCCTGGGTTGGGCCGGAAAAGGGAGTAGGATGCCTGGGGTCCAGGCGATGCTCACGCGGGCAGGGCTGGCCCAGGGTCTGGAAGGAAGGGGCGCTCCGAGAGCTGGTCTCCTTTGCCTCCCGAGTGTGGTGTCAGCGGCCCGTGTCCACTTTACAAAGGACGGTCTGGGCCACTCATGTCCAGGCAAAAAATTGCAGATAGGGCTTCTTTCCTCTTTCTGGCTAAAAAACAATGGCTTAGGGACTTCCCTGGTGGCCCAGTGGTTAAGATGCTAAGCTTCCATCGCGTGGAACATGAGTTTGATCTCTGGTTGGGGAACTAAGATCCCACATGCCACACAGTGTGGCCTTTGCTTCTCATAACAACCTCAAAAATATAAAATAATAAAGGTATATTTTAAGCAAACAAACTGGTGGGTTAGCCCTGCTCTTCCTCTTGGTCATGTAGCTGGGCTGAATTTTCCCTCGCGGTGCAGGCGTGGCCTTCAGACAGAGGCCCAGGGACCAGGAGCAAAACAGCCTGTGGTCTGGTCTCCACAGCTGAGCAGGGGCGAGGCCTTGGAGGAGCGAGAGGGGGTGTACAGGTGGGAGGAGTCTGTGAGGGACGTGTGTGCGTGTTTGTGTGTGGGGAGCAGAGGTAAACAAACAGAAACAACCATTATCCACATTTCCAGTGGGAAGCATTTAAATTTTATTCCCTCGTTTCTTCCTGTTGTGTGTGAGCTAAGTCGCGTCAGTCATGTCTGACTCTGTACAACCCCATGGACTGTAGTCCGCCAGGCTCCTCTGTCCATGGGATTCTCCAGGCAAGAATACTGGAGTGGGTTGCCATTTCCTCCTCCCGGGGATCTCCCCAACCCAGGGACTGAACCCAGGTCTCCTGCACCACAGGAGCCACCAGGGCAGACTTTGCTTCTCATAATAACCTCAAAAAGTTAGCAGGCAGGGAGGTTATAAGTTAGCCTCTTATATTCACAAGAGGCTAAAATCCCGAAACTCTGGAGACAAAGCTCAAGTCTCTGGGCTTTCCGCTATATCTTTTGCAGAAGCCCAGCCACCGCCTCCTGAAGAGAGAGGAAAATGGACCAGGGGAGAGAATGGTCACTTTTTCTGACATTTTCTTGGGCTTTTGCCAGTTTCACAGCTAACCTTAAATGTCACTGTCAGTTACGTGTTTGGAATCCTTTACTCCTTTCAGTAAACTTCAGTATCATTATGCCCTAAGGTGGAGAAAACTGAGGCACAGAGAGGTTAAGTCACTTGCCCAACAGCTGCCTACTTCCAGAGACTGACTATAGGCCTGAGACTACAGTCAGTCACTGTACAGTACTGGACCTCCTTAATCCTCCAAAACGTGAATCCCCAGTATTTAGTAAAATTTAGACCTCTTCTGCTCAAGGACAGTCTTTGGGTCCTTGGAAAAGGGGTACTATTTCCCAACCTGCAGGATCCTCCATCACCACCAAGAATAGGTCCTCAGTGTTATCAGGGGTTACTCAGGACACCCACTTCATTGCCAACCCTTGACCCCTGCAGAGTGTAATGGAACAAACCAGCCTGATTCTGGAACGAGACAAGGTCACCCACAACAGGACACAGCCCTCTGCACTTGGACTTGGAGGCTGCAGCCATCTTTTCCAGAATCTGAGATGGAAATGGGTTCCCTGTCCAATGTTCCCTGGACAAAAGTCAGAGGTCAGAACAGTCAGGGTCAAGGTCACATCACAGTAGCATCACAGGACAGCCAAGTGTACCCAACCGGGACTGGGCTGGTCAAAGACAGCTGCTGGTGGTTCCTTAAATACTCGATCTGCATTTTTGCTATAAGCAAGCTTCATTTTATGTTTATGCCCAGAAAACAAAAACAAAAAAGCTATTTCCATTAGAGAGAGTATGTCAAAGAAAGAGGCATTCTGGGAACTCCCAGGAAGTAAGAGTAATCAAGGTTAAGTAGGGTGCAGGTGGTTGAGCCCCTGCAGACCGAAGGGGCCCTAGGGGAGCGTCTCTGTCTGCCCTGGGCAGGGGGCGGGGGCGGAGGCTCACCCTGCCTCCCCACTGCCTTGGAGCACAGTCACTGACAGAAGTGAGGTGTATTGAGCACAGAGTCTGTGCCTGGCCCATTACCCAAACCATCTCCTTGGTAAGTATCATTGCCATCTTCTCCCAATTTGGAAACTAACCCAAGGACTTTATTCACTCTGGCCCAGTCCTACATCACACCGCGTCCTCCTCTGCAGGGCTCAGTTAGGGGTGGGATGCGGGGGACAGATTCCTAGGACGTCCCCAGCTCAGGGCTCTTCTGAGCTCTGAGCCTTCCATGAGCCCTAAATCTCCCAGCTTCCAGGGACCCTTTACAGAGTTGGTACAGCCATGCAGAGGGACACACCAGCCTGTTTCTTGCTCACAGGTCTACATGGAGCTGACATCATGGGACCCATGGGGGCAGAAGCTCACCCAGGGAGCACTCCTGCCTGCCTCATATAACCTGAGGGGAACTGGAGAAATACCAGGCTCCCTTCAAGACATCAAGGTCATAAAAGACAAAGGAAATCTGAGGACATGACCCAGATCAAAGGTGACCAGCTCCTGAGTCAAACAAAAGCAGCTCTAAAGGACACCTTGAGATTAAGTATCAGATAATGGACTACATACCAGATAATATGGACTAAAGAATAGATATCAGCTTAAACTTGCACAAGGTGATAATTATACCTGGATATGTAGATGAACATCCTTGTTATTACAAGATATATGTTATTTAGGGGTAAAGCATCATCAGTTCAATTCAGCTGCTCAGTTGTGACCGACTCTTTGTGACCCCATGGACTACACAACACACCAGGCCTCCCTGTCCATCACCAACTCCCAGATTTACTCAAACTCATGTCCATTGAGTCGGTGATGCCATCCAACCATCTCATCCTCTGTCGTCCCCTTCTCCTCCCACCTTCAAACTTTCCTAGCATCAGGGTCTTTTCAAATGAGTCAGCTCTTCGCATCAGGTGGCCAAAGGATTGGAGTTTCAGCTTCAGCATCAGTCCTTCCAATAAATATTCAGGGTTGATTTCCTTTAGGATGGACTGGTTGGATCTCCTTGCAGTCCAAGGGACTCTCAAGGGTCTTCTCCAACACAGTTCAAAAGCCTCAATTCTTCGGCACTCAGCTTTCTTTATAGTCCAACTCTCACATCCATACATGATCACTGGAAAAACCATAGCTTTGACTAGATGGGCCTTTGTTGGCAAAGTTATGAAGCATCATGTCTAACTAACTTGCAAATGGTTTAACAACAACAACAAAAATGTGGGTGGTCTGTAAGGCAAGAGACGGATAAAGCAAAGGTGGATAAAAATGGTAATAACTAATAAGAACATATGGGTGTTCACTGAACTATTCTTGCAAGCTTTCTACAGGCTTGGGGAACTTCTAAATGAATGTATCAGAGGAATGGCCCCTGAGCTGATGGTTCGCCTACTGATGAGACGGACTGAGAACAGTCACTCAGTGCTTGATGCCAATGTTCCCTGGAAGGTCTTTCCAGCCAGCTGCACTCAGGGAGCTGCCCGGCTCTGCTCAGCTGTGGCCGGGGAGTGGGGTCAGGTTCACATGACAGGCTGTGTAACTGTGT